ATTTCCGGGGGGGGGGTTGAACCCCTACCCCTCCCCCCATATACGGCCTTGTTTACATATAATCTTTATTACAACGTAAAAATAAAATGATACATTTTATCTTATTTTAAATGACTGCTTTAATGAAAATATACAATAATTCTTAATAAATTTATAGTCAAATAGTCAATAAACTATATTAACTATAGTTTCTACTATTAAAAATGTCGGGGGTTACCTGCAGGCTGCAGTTACGGACTTACTTGGTTTCTAAGATCTTTAAAATATAACGTGWATCACTTTATTTATATCGGTCCAAAAATCCAATTCTCAATACCGATTCGTGTAGAGGGATTATGTAACTATTGACCAACCATTAACCTACAGTAATTATTAGGTACTCCAGTTAAAGAACTGGATATGATTATTCGTAGTATAAATATTGACAGCCACTTGGTTTGAAAGAACGACAAAAGTGTGTTACCGTTTTTATACTCATTACTCACTCGCACGCACACATATTTATCGAAAAACAGACTAGAAGAATTGTGGTGTATTTTTATCTCGTTATAGTTAATAGTAAGTTGTTACTAACACTAACTATTTCATATGAAAATGTATAAAACGAGGGTGTAACAAATGTTGGAAAAAAATCAAATGAACTATCTCACCTTTTTTCCACTCATGAAGAGTTTCACATAATCATGTATAAGAACTAACAAAATTCTAGCTAATAATTATAAATCATACCATATAGGATCTAAACGACAGACCTGTGCAATTGTCATCAGCAAGAAGTGAACAATCCAATTTCGCTAGGTACCTATAAAGCTTACAGGCGACATCCACGTGCATGAAATAACCGTCATTGGCCAAACATTTGCAGAAAGCTTCGCAGCACAATAACATGGTTTCTTTTAGTGACTAAAACAAAAAAAAAATTATTTAATCAACCAAGTCATCTACACCAATTTTTACACTAAGACAACAAAATTACAACAAGTCAAAAACACTTTTTACCTGTAAAAATAGTAAACTATAAGTGAATTTCCATTCAATTAAATAATGAACCAAATTGAAATTGTAATTTAAGTTTTGATTTAAGTAAAAATAGTAAAACATTGTTTATAAACATTAATACTGTGGCTTGATGTGGCTCGGCGTCTGGTGCTCTGAGTGCCAGCACCGCGGCTGGTACCACTAGTTTCTTGATGGATGATCATTGACCACTCACGGGTTCTAAGTGACAATTCCTTGCAATACATGCATGTGTTTGAATTAACCGTGTCAACCATACCAAATTACCAAGCGTATATTAATTCAAGCAATTTATAAATAACTTCATTATAAACAGAAACAGTCGGTGTACCTATACTGTATATACTATATACTGTACACCGTGTACAGTATATACTATATAATGTACACCGTGTACTGTACTCGCACTCAGCTTTGTCTAGTTCTCATTATAATTCATAAGAATTCTAAAGAAAAAATATTGGTTTTTCGATAAACACGTATATTTTGAATTGTGGATCAAAACAAGTAAACAAAAATTTGAATTATCAGTGTTAGCCTGGTTGAGATAACTATAGGTAGCGATCGAAGCTCAGTCCTCTGACTTATAGATGGGCTATAGATAGACCAACAAAAGAAACATGTATTTTTCCTACTTGATTTTATGTTATTTCTATGAACTTTTATATTCATTAGTTAACTATAAATAGAAAAAAATTAAATGTTTATTATTTATTATAATATAATATATATATTATATATATATATTGTATATAGTGTGTAACCGAAAGATATGAGAAAATGTMATACGTTTCTTTTATACGTTTTTATATTTTATTTGTTATATATTTCTGTTACACTCTATATATTCGTAATAAACCTATTTTGTTTATATATCATTAGAATTATTAATTCATCTTACTTTTGTCCAATGTCCAAAAGTTATGCCCAAAAATTCTATCATGTCCACATGTTCTGCACGGAAATTCCCAATCGTATAAATTTGTTCTAATAGATCGAAATCGAGTGATAAGTCCGACCACACTTCTTCTATTCTTTCTTTAGTGCCTATTGTGGTACCTAACTGAAATAATTATTATCAAAAAACAATTATTTCAACATTATCAATGTATATTCAATTTATCGCATACAATTTATTTATATATCATGGAATACTTACTTGAAAAGCTAATATTCTAAATAGAGTTCGATCTTGATTTTTAGTAATAGTGATAATATTATTGTGGGCACCCAAAGAAACGTATTGATCATCTGTGCTTTTGAAATACTCCGCAGACCAACTTACAATGTCTTCAGGCTGAGATCGGATCGCGGCTTTCACATATTTTTTTAATATTTCTGGTAAATTTTCGGGAACTATTATCGAATTCATTTTTTTTTCAAATATTTTAAAAATTATTATTATGTTGTAATTAAAATTATATTTTAACTAATAATATAGTGTACAGTATACATATGTAAACAATTATTATTTCTGGTATAGTGAATTCGTTAAAGGCAATGTGTTACACGCACATTTACTTACACATGAATATGACGTAGTTTACAATGAAGTAGGTACGATTTTGGTTTAGAAGGGATACACGAAAATAGAGCTTTCCACCCATCCACACGCCATACCGTCGTGTTTTGATATTTTGTTTCTATGGTTCTAGAAACGAATCGATTTTGTTGTAAAAAAAAACCCTAAAACTTCGAAAAAGTTAACTATAGTATGTAACGCATGGACCGTTAACTAAATATTTTTAATTTAAATACATCCATTTATATGGCGATTATAAGAATTAAGCTGAATTATTAAATGTTGGCCAAATAAATGTATAGTTTATATTATTATACGAAAATATTAATATTAAAAAAAATTGGAAAAAATCAGCCATTTGACTTAAATAAGTGTTTTTACCATGTAAATTTTTCTAAAAATCAGATTTACAAATTCGTTATATTGAATATTTCAAAAAACATTTTATATCAATTTTTAAGTTTTTTATTTTCAGTATTAAAAAATAAAAAATGTAGCGCAAGTGTCTATAATTTATATTTAGAAGACATTTTTTAAAAATATTGATTACAACAAAAGTTATTTCACTTGTCAGAATTACAGATCTCTGTGGGACACCCTGTATAGTGGATGATCATTGAAATAAAATTTTACACATTCATAAGAGATGACCATATGTCCATATGATATGACTACTCATTATAGCTTAAATGTTAATTTTTTTTAACAATCAGAAACTCCTGTCGAACTTTGAGTTATCATTGTTATTATGTAATGTGTTGGTTAAAAAGCATATGTTAARTGTAGATAAAAATCTTGTATCCATAACATAATAATATTATGTTAATATGTTTAATATCAATAGTTTTAGTATTCCTCTGGTATACTACAAATAAATAATATATGTATACGCATATAGGACTTCTTCATACCTAACAGACCATACACAGTGTCATGGGTAAATAACCAATTATTTACCCATGTCGGAGCCACGGAATTTAGTAAATTTGAATTCAGTCAATTTAAAAATATTGTAATAAATATTTAATATTACCTATAGAATTTATCATATTTTCTTTAATATTATTTGTGGCGAGATTAAAACAATTTTAATTTATTTTAGATATGTAATATCACTTGAAAACAATAGATAAATTAATGTCCTATAAAACATATTATCTATCATACAGATGCAACAAGTAATTTACAATATATACCCAGTGCCAAATGGTATTTAGTGTCTTAAAAACATTTTAAAACATTGATTTTTATAGAAATGTTTAGCTTAATATATTAATAATAATAATATTTAGAGGAATAATTTAAGATTTTAATAGCAAAAAAGTTTAAATGGACTTCGTATAAAAAATATAAAAATGTTGGTAGATATTTAATAAAAATCTTAATGGAAAAATAGACTAGTTATTATAGCCTATAGCATGTTTAAAATGTTCCGCAGTGAGTAGGTATAAAAGTACATTATTTGTAACGAGTTTACTATGACAATAAAATAAACAATCTGTTTATTTTATATTTTTCATATTGGGTTTATATTCTTTTGGACGTAAAAACTTTCATAGCAAGGAATTATATTACAATCGCGTGACTAAACCAGTCATGGTTTTTTTTTGTTTGCAGATTTATATGTTTATATTATATACAATTCAGGGGTTTACAATTTTTAAGAATCAGTTGGCTTTGTATTTATTCTATTCTATATCTATTTGTATCTATTATCTAWATGAGGAGCTTGAACTAAAAATTAAGAATCTTGATTAGACAGATAAAATATTATTGTATGTAAATTAATTTTTCGAAAATGTTCATTTCTAAGAATATTTTTTAAAAGTCGAAAACTCCCAAATAGGAGATTAACATCATCTTTAAAAATATAATTTTAATTTTATTTATTAATTACCTTTGTATTAAATATT